ACACTAAAGCATCGGTTTACATTCCAGAATTGCGTGACGCTGGAGGCGTGTGCGCCTTTGGCCAATCGCGTCGGGGGCGAGTGGGTGTGTTATTTTAAGGCTCGCTGAATGGAGGTCTTGGGAGCCAATTGGGGGTGTTTGCTCGCCCAGACATCCGCACTTCAATAGTGAATGGGTCATAAACATGTTTTCATTTTCTTAACACTCGAGCCTTATTTTGAAATGTATCTCTCTATATATAAGTCGAAAGATAAATATGGAGATAATGAACGAAAAGAGCTTGTTAAACGAGAAATGTCACAATAATGTATATTACAATTCAATCGACGATGCTTAGTATTTATTTACACTTTTCACTATGCCAAGGTGCTGTTGGCTAAAATAAAAGTAACGTAAATAAATAAGCATACTTTTTTATTTGTGTTATATCACAATGTTACGCGTTTCATTTTTCAAAATTGATGGGAACATTTGTTTTAATTGCCCCCCATATTACCCTTGAGGTCACGTGACTATTGAAAGGACATTCAGAGGTGCGGGGAGAATTCGTTAAAGATTTATAAAAGTCTTAATTTTTCGATTTAAAGCTTTCGTGACTGCAGGGATTCATCTTCTTATTTCTTTCGGTAAAGTCACGTAGAAGGGAAATAATAAAATAATAAAAATAAAACATAATAAAATAAATTCGTGAGAATTTGAGAATTTTATTTTATTATGTTTTATTGTTATTATTTAATTATTTCTCTTCTACGTGACTTTACCGAAAGAACCAAGAAGTCTTAATATTCTTAAGATTCTATTGACATCGACTGCCGATGTGCATGCGCAGTGAGAGAAAGGATTTAATTCTGGAACGGCAATAGCCACATTCCTGATCTGACATGAGACGGTTCTTTTAAAAGTGCTACTGCGCGTGTAATATAAATAATAGGTTCATACCATATTTAAAAAAGCACTGCAAGACGCCTCTGCAGTGGGAAATGCTCGCAGGCAGTGAGAAAATATGGTTAAAATTGCTCCACGTTTTGGACAAGGGCCAACAGATTTATCTGTTCTTCGTGAGGAGCTGAGACCCTCTCAATGCATGGCTATAAGATGATGCTTGGCACTGCAGAGGGGTCTTGCAGTGCTATTTTCATCATGTTTTCTCCCCCTGCGTCTCAAAGTATTTTCTGAGGTTGATGCCAATATCATATAACGTTAAATTGCACTACACTGTAAAACAATAAATGCCGTTAATCCCAAGGTTATGATGGTACAATTAATGTATTCGTCACATTTTATTGTTTGTCGGTAACCGATTCAGTTCTACACTAAATCTTTTAAAGCGTGTATTGTGGCTGGTCAGAAATGCAACTACCGTAGGTCTGAACCCTTTAGTTCCACATTACGAGTTTAAAACTGAACTCTGACTTCTGTTACAAAAATGTTGACATATATGACGCACGTTAGCTTATTGTCTGGCCTTGACTGTCTTGTATTGACATGGACCGTATTTTTTTCAAGTTTTAAAGCGTGACCCCATTGGCAAACAGATGTGTTTCGTAATACTACGGGCGAATGGCACTTGATTCTCTTTCAGTCTGTATTGGAATAACAACGCTCACAATCGTGTTTTTGTATGTCTGTAAATTCGGTTAATTTGTATTGCAGACACACGTATGTATGCAGACGAGAAATAACGGGGATGTCACTATATATATTGACCTTGAATGAGAAGTTATAGGCGTTTATACAATTTAATAATGCCGATAATAGCACGTTAATATATTAGCACTGGTATAATAAACATTGTCTATTTGTGTACTTATTATAAGCGAAAGCAATTATACAGTTAACTTTTTAAATGTAATACAGTTTTTTTTAGTTTATAAATTAAAGAATCTATTAGGATCCGATTCTTGAAGCGGTAGCATTTCCATACATAACATTTATTTCCAAGGAAAGTTATTTCACGCAAAAAAAAAACTGTCAAAATAATAGTTGACTTTTTTGTTACTTTTAAACCGTGCTGTATGGCTGTACTTAATTCCCCAAGCCTGTGTGTGGCGAGTCGAAAGTGGAGTGGGACAGATGGTCTAAGGGGAGATAATGTTAGGACGTGTCAAAGATAGCACGTATGACTGACTGGTCAGGCGATGTTCTACGCAAGAACAGGTCTGGCTGGAACTGGCGTTGACCGGTTTCCTGGAGCCCCCGAGGCCCCCCTCTTGCTCTCCCGCAGAGGCGATCCACCGGACTGCAGTGCCTTTTTAGAAGTCCCCAGGTGCACTGGCTCGAGCAGGGGTTGGCCAACCTGCGGCTCTCTAAGGACTGTTTCGCGACGTTCTTTATTAAGGACGAACGTCTCACATTCATGTGCATTGTGGCTCTTGAAATATATTTTTTGTCACCGAATTCGAACAAAAATTTTATTTTTGGTGGCCGGACCCCTAGGCTATAGTTAATCCTCCCATCTTTTTGGCCCAATGTAAAGAACAGTTTACTTTGTCGTGAGGGGTGCCCGTGGCCGTGCAACCCCCCCAATATGTGGACCATATAGTGAACCGCTGTAGTCTACGCTCCATCGAAGGAGTAACGGCAAAACTACAAAAACTCGTTGAAGCCCTCTCGTCGTGGCTAGCAGACCTCGACACTGGCGTTCAGCTCATGAACATAGTGCTGCTGTACGAAATCATATATTTAGCAGCTGTATCTATCGTCATTTTAGATATCAATCAAATCGCATTGCTGTGCATGAGGACATATTGTCTCCATATAGATTCGCTGTGGCCGCTTCTCATAAATAGGCCAGTGGGGGCCGCAGCCTTGTTCCTAAAAAAAAATGTGGGGGGGAAAAACATAACGAGTGTCATGAAAATGATGAACTGCATTTGACCCCCTGCCTCACCCTGCTTCCCATACGCCCCCTCATGCCCCCCCCCCAGCCGGCTTCCATACCTCACCGATATATTCGCCGAGCGGCCGTCACTGCATCTTTGCCATTTTGGTTCACCTCCACACACGTCTCTTTGCGCTCGTTAGATGCGGGTTTCGTTTGCATTTGCTTTCGTTAGCGGTTTGTGGCCAGGAAGGTTGTGTTCACGTGTGAAGTAGGAGACCGGCAAACGCGCTGCCATGCCGCAATGGCACGGTGAGCGAGAGACACTCCTGGCTGAGCGGATTGAGTTCTATCGTCATCAGTCCTACTGCCTGGATGTGTTATCGTGTTACACGCTTGGCCGGCTTCCAAGTTCCAAGAATTTGCTTTCCTGCTGACTTGTGCTGATGGTCCAAATTGTATTCTATTGCTGATTTGATGAAATTTTTTTTTTACTTTTCACAGAAAAAACACGTAGACTGCAACGATCTGTGTTTGTTTAGAGTATTTGGCTGCTATACATTTTCACGTGATGATAAGCCACTTCGTTGAGCTATCATTTGTGGCCAGGCCGCTTCTGAAAAAAGAGAGCTGTAAGGTTCAGTGGGCTTTACGATAAAAAAAGTAACTAAATTGGGTCGGGCCACATGTAGATGACACTTGAACAACACCGAGTGTTTATGTAGGCTACTCACAGACCGTCAGAGCACAAACATTTTGCACACTTCGACGCAAGCCACTTGAAGTTATGCAGTATATAAGTGTATACTATTACATTTGTGGAATTATACACACGTATCCTGCAATATCTGACGATTTTAAAATATTTATGCGTCCGTTAAACTCGAATTTAAAATGTCTTGTCTTGGAGGCTCCTTAAAAGTTTGAATTACAGAACTTGTTTAATGTAGAAGTGTGTTCCAAAAATAATTGGTCTGCATTAGAATCATTTTGGCTGGTTGCATTGAATTAAAGTGTAATTTCCCCTTCGATTATCATTTAAAGCAATATCACTTTAAAGCGGGAGGAAAATGTTGCACTTGACTACACGCGAGGCAACAAACATTTTTTTTATAATCTCATGACAGTAAACCCAATATTTTTTAAAATTCATAATTCTCATAGATGGAATTTAGCTGAACTATATGAAATCCCAAATTTAAGCTTCATTCATTTGTGCAGTCGTTCTTGACTGTGCCGCCAAGATCCTCAACTTGCCACACTTGAGAACCCAGTTTAACCATGGGCGGCTGAAACCCACAGATGTAATTCTATCATCTCGGTGGTGCTGGCTCGGTGCGCTGATCCCTGATCTCATTTGCAGGCAGCCCCAGAGCATTAAGAGGGGGGGGGGGGGGGCTCTAAGAGACCAAGCCCACACCCGCTGAGGGCTCCATTCCCTTCCAGATTCTGATTGTCAAGTCGACGAATGTTGGCACCGACTCTCACACCAGTGGCCTTTCATCTTCAAAGGCCGCTTGTTCGCCGAACACCCACACCTATAAACACGCGTGCCTGTGCATATTGTGACTGTGTTGTGTGCCCCTCACTTCCCCCCTGTGAGTATTGTATAACAGCTCTCCCCCCCACGTTAAACAAGGCAATTCTAGTTGAACATGTAGGCATTCGTGATCAATATCATCCATGATAGAGGTTTTTTGAGCGATATCGCGTAAATATATAAAAACAGGTGGACTTCTCCACAAATCTGGCTGTCGCCTGATGAAGCTAGTTGTAATTACCGGCGCAATATCGTACGCAGATTGTAAATGTTGTGGCTTGACTCTCCAACACACCGGTGTGCTGTACTAGTGACGAATTGGCCACGTTCTGTTTACGTGACAAACCCTTACTAGTTGGCTGTGTCGGGTGGTGGCGGGTTTTAACGACACATTTATATATTTACGAGATCTAACCCAAACGACCTACTATTATGGAAGGTAATTCTACAGGGTTGGTTGCTGCAGTGTCGGGTGGTGGCGGGTTTTAAACGACACATTTATATATTTACGCGATCCAACCCAAACAACCTACTATTATGGAAGGTAATTCTACAGGGTTGGTTGCTTCAGTGTCCTCTTAAACTGGATGGATTCCGCCTTAACTGTCAAAAAAAATTTGCGTGGATTTTTTTTTGCAGCCACTCCCAAGATGCTTTCGGGGCTACGCAGGGCGGCCGTGGAGACGGCGAGGAAGGCGCGGGCGGCTCCCCCGCTGCCCACGGCCGTCATGTCCGTGCGCTTCCAGAGTTGGTCCCCGCGGCAGATCAACCCGGACGCCAACTTCCACTCGGCGTCTTTCTCCGAGGAGGATCACCCCCGCGTGCTCATCACCGGTATGGGACGCGTAAGCGAGGTTTCGAGCGGGGGGTCAAAGTGCCCGGCTCCTCGCCCACACGCCACTCATCGCGGTCAACCTCCACGGGAGTGATGCGAATGCGACGAGATGTTATTGTTGCATTTTTGTTTGTTTTGTTGAATAAAGTGAAAGATGCATTTTTTGCAACCGGTGCATAATCTCCCGTCACCTCATTAGATGTTTTAAATAATGCCCCTTTGCCTGTTAATTAACTTTTTCTCTTATAACAATGAACAATCCGTTATGATAGTAGTTATTGTTTGGACATATTCCAGATCTCAATTTAATCACAGGTGGCTGAAACCCACATGTGAATCCAGAATCATCGATTCCTTTTATTTTTTGCGGTGAATGGTAGCACCTCCAGTGACAGCAAAGGGGTTTACATTATTATATGAAATACATACACATCTAAATCTGAACATTGATTCTTGCACACACGATTCAACACGTGAGGTCAAGACTAAATAGTCAGTGCATCATTCCACCCCGAATATTTTCCATCGCTCGATATATTTCTACCGATGAGGCTCGGGTGCACGCGGTGCTTTGCGAGTGCACAACACTTTAACTTTCTTCTCACGCGCTGAGCTAGCAAAGTGGCTACAACTCTAAACGCTGTTTGGCGTCAAATTTGGCACGCGCACATTGGATGCAACGAGACACCGCTCCGTCAGTGCAGATCTTCGGCCGATTGTTCAAGTGGGAGTTTTTTTTTTTAAGAGAAAAGTACAGCCCTCCCTGCGATGTCTTGCTGAAGCCACTGCCGGAGGAAAGGTTTCCACTAGAAGGAGGTTTACCGGAGCTCGGAGAGCATTTGCTCAACTCTTCCATGCTGGTGAGACATCTATCCACATTTTACCCCACCAGATGAGACCTGCCGATCAGCTGACTGGTGTTACTCAACGGTTGGAAGGACAGAGGCGGTGGCAGGGGGAGGGTTAAGAAAATTGCACCGTTGTTGCAACTGCCGTATTGGTTAGATTTAATTGAATATTAATCTGAATCTACGGAGCATCATTCATGTATGTTGAACTTTTTTCACACCGTACGTAGCCAACCATGCTAATTGGAGGTGCGGGGGAAGGACGGCCATCTGAACATGAAAAGGAGTTAAAGATAAATTTAGTTTTTAAATCGAGATTTTGAATACACAGCTCCAGTGGCATCTTTATTATATTATATAATAATGTTCGTGCTAATTGCATCCCACAAATCTGTACACTTATTATATCGAAGCGACAAATCCTATTCATAGCAACTACCAAGCAAATGAAGGCCCTCAGAAAATAATAATAATAAACAAATGAAGAAATGGAGCAAAAATAAAAGGCATGAAAAAAAGGTATCACAACATAGAGAATTAGTCTATGAAGTGACATCCCAAACTACAATTAAAAATTCTCACACAAGATCTGCAAGTCCAGTGTGCTACCGATTACACCAAGTGTTGCCACCCGTGATAGAGAAGACCGAGATTTGAATTTGGGCCCTTTAGCAGATGCACCACAGCAAGTCTGGGCCCAGCAAGTCAGGGCACAAGCCCTTGCCAACGTGATGTCTGCGTCAGCTCATTCCGGCTCATGTGGGTGCATGTCGAGAAACGAATATGCAAATTATTATTTAAATAAACAAATACCAAGCTTGCCTGAGGGAGGAACATCTGAAGCCAACTTTAGTTAACCATGTAAGCCTTATATAAGCACAGCTGGCCCTTGCTCCCAAGGGGTGTGCTTATATCCAGCTTAAACTGTATTTGCGAAATATAATTCTGTTTTGCCCACACATTTGTCTTTCAATTTCGTTAAAAAAAATAATTAAGATAATTGTAAAAAAAAAAAATCTAAATAAATATTAGTTTTTAAATGCGACTCGTACACCGTTGCATGTTTTTGCTAGATATAGCAGTCGGTGTCACATTTGGCGATAGATGTTGCTTGGATGTGACAGCTGGCGGGTTTAAATGTGCAGGATGCCTGACTGTCAGGGCTGTCCTGTGTCTTTGCCACGTGTCCTTGGCCACGTCTATTCCACATGTGCCTTCATCGCTTTCGTGACGGCAGGTGTGGAATTAAGGGCGGCAGGGGTGGCAGCGCAGTAGTGCCACTCGTGCCTCGCAGCAAGAAGGGCCCTGGTGGGTTGGATTCCCGACTTGGGCGCCTTTTCTGCGTGGAGTTTGTATGTTCTCTCCCTCTGTTCTGCATGGGTTTCCTGCAGATTCTCCGGTTTCCTGCCACAGCAAATAAAAAAAACGTACAATGTGACTGGTATTGGACAAACTTTCCAATGCTGAACAATTACTCTGCAAGATATTAAATTTGGATTGCACATTGCAGAAACATTGACCCATACTGCGAAATAACTTGGCAGAACCCCCCTGAACCAAGCATAATAATATTAAATCATGACAGACCGTTTTGTTAATTTTGCTTTGGAATTCTTTTCAGATAACCATCACATTTTTTTTAGATCGCAATGGTTTGCACAATTTATTTTTTCCTCCACGCACATGTACTATACTTTAAGGATTCCGCCACGTGTAGTGGTTTAGCGCACCTGACCTCAGATCCACAGGTCGGGGCGGCAGTTGAAAACTATTTTCTCAAATCCCACCCACCTCTGTCCACCCAGCAGTATGAATGGGTATAACCACAGTCTGCCGACTGCCAGATTCGTGCCTGACGGGTTAAAGTGTGAGTACGCCCCCCACCTCTTACAAAATGTCAGGCCAGTGTGGAACGGTAGGACCTGTAGAGAGGGGCTGCCTATAACTCTCTACAGTGGAGACATTTCAGCCAGCAGTTGAGTGAGCAAGTACTCACAGTGCTGAACCTTGACCTTTGGAAATATAGCACCGCGATAAGGTTCCTAATTTGCGATAAGCTTCTAAATTTGGAAACGAAGTGACTGATAGATATGCATTGTTAATATTTTGCAGGTGGCTTGGGCCAGCTCGGCCTTGGCTTCGCAAAACTGCTCAGGTACGCTTGATAACCGGATAATCTTGCGTCATCGTACACATGGTGTTGTCGTTCGTGTGTTTCGGTGCCATATTTCCACCTGTGCACGTTCAATGGCAGAGGGTGGGTCTGCCCTAAAAACACGGCGATTTACTCTCTTTCAGGCAACGATTTGGAAAAAACAATGTCATCCTGTCTGACATCCGGAAGCCACCAAATGACGTGTTTGCAAACGGTGAGAACTATAGCACATGTCGACATCCTACATCGCACACAAACACTGCACACCCACACCGCCACACACATCAACCCCATGAGCTGCCAAACCAACCACGACATGTTTTATGTAAATATTTTTAGGTTTTTTTTGCTCTTGTTAGTTTGCACATTCCCTCCACCCTGGTGTGTCCTCTAGCTGCATCCACAGCCGACCATCACGGACTGTGGTCGTCCCTGTAACAGAGCTGCTCAGCTCAATGGGGCCGGAGCAGCTGAAATAATAACGCCCGAGTCTCGAGTATTCCGACACTTTAAACCCATTTTTTCGCCGCATACCGAAGTCTTAAAATCAGAATTGCCCCGCTAAGTCGTTGAAGGGTTTTCGAAAGACGTCCGATTAGCTTTGACGGGGTTTGAAGGTCAGTTGGGCTGGGGCTTAAAGCGGTGGGCGGTGGGTTACAGGTGTGCCAAGCCGCATTGCCCGGCACTCCACAGGTGACATGGGTTGCCTTTGAGCCGCCCCCACCGTGGAGTGCACAACACGCCTGCCAGAGGTCCGGAGACGATCGATATATACACACACGGAAGTCGGATTAAACAAACGCCTCCCTTTTAAAAGGTGCTGCATTTGAGACCATTCCTATCTAAGCTCACTCATTAGCCGAGCTGGCATATGTGCGTGTTTTGTACGGCGTCTTGTGATATCCGGGTGATTTGCGCGTTAGACGTGTACATTATTAGCTCATAAAATTGGGGGGCGCAAATTACGCGCCCCTCGCAGCAACATTCAAGAACTAAGGGCGGAATAAACGTTTACATTCTTAAATCGACGAGACTAATGGAATAACCAAGAGGCGAGGAGCACGATTGTCTACGTGTGGTGCGAAAGAAGCTCAAGATACATAGATGAATGTTTGACTACTTTATTCGACGAGACGAAGCGAGCGACTAAGTGTAAAAATCCACAGACGTTAGACTCGACTCGAATTCTACAGGCTGTCGTCGACAACACTTAGGCCCACGGCTAAAATATATTTTGTTATGCCGGTTAAATTAACGCCCATTCTGAGACGACGGTGTGACGACGGGTACGGTGGATGGGCGATGCTGAGACATGCACATGTTTGGTCACGTGCATTCGTGGCGTGAAGGTCCTTTCATCTACGCGGACATCCTGGACTACAAGAACCTGCGCGAGATCGTGGTCAACAACCGCATCACCTGGCTCATCCACTACAGTGCCCTGCTCAGCGCCATAGGGGAGGCCAACGTGGTCCTCGCACGCAACGTGAACATCACTGGTAGGTCGCCGCGGCTGCCACCCTTCGCCATCATGTGCGCGTGTATGTTGAACTTCTTTCGCGTTCCGTACAAAGTTAACTGTGCTAATTGGAGGTCCCTGTGCTAATTGGAGATGACGGGGAAGGACAACAATGTTTGCCTGCAGTTTAATTGTTGCACCCTGACTGAATAATCCTTCTACCTTAACGCGAATTAACTTTATTTAAATAACACGTTTGTCCCAAAAAAAATTGCTCGTAGATTAAACAGAGTTAAGTATTCGATCGTTCTTATTCAGATAAAATTCAAGTTATTTTACACACACACAGGCATACAGATACAACAACAATCACAACAACAATCACAGCGCTTTTACCAAGTAAACTTTATAACGATATGAAGTGTTAAAGGGTTTCTAGCAGGAGGGCATGGAACAGATACATTTGTTTTAAATGACTGAGATTCAATTAAATGTTTATTGTTCTATGGAAACATCCCCTTTAGCCAGTTACTCAGCTGATTTGTAACGGAGATCCGTGGTGCATCAGCACAGAACAAGAACAACCGATGCACCATCTGCATTCCCAACCATGATAACTGAAAGAAATGTACAAAGATCCCGGTGTAGCCTTAACACACTGTAGGGGCAAGAGCTGTTAGTGAGCACCTACGAAGACTGGCACTGTGCACAAGGGGCTTGGTGGCCACCACTACACCCGGCCGCCTTTGTCTCCCTCGAGACACTTGAGGCTGAGTCGACCTAGGGGTGGCCCAAGACCAGTTCAGACAATCGTCACTGTTGTTTGCTGCGAACGGGAATCGAACTCTGTTTACAGGGTATAAAGCGCAGCGCGCTAACCGCTAACCGCTAACACTACCGCCCCCCAGCAACAGATATATACAACACGTACACACACACTCGTGCAGATAACCCAACCAGCATTGAACCCGTGCACTAATCTTCTACCCGGCTGGTTGCTCAGGGCTGCACAATGTGCTGGACATCGCGGCAGAGAATGGACTCAAGCTGTTTGTGCCCAGCACCATCGGGGCCTTCGGCCCGACGTCCCCACGTGACCACACGCCCGACCTGTGTGTGCAGCGCCCGCGGACCATATATGGCGTGTCGAAGGTGCATGCGGAGCTCATGGGAGAGGTGAGTTTGGGGACTCTTACACCGTCCGCCGACTGTTCATCGCAAGGGATTATAATTGCTCGCGCGCTTAAATATATGAAATTACAGCATCTCAAAGCACCGTACATCACAAACATGTGATAACAAAGCATGGAGGGGAAACGAATGGGGGCATTTTTGAGAATGAAATTCGAAAACTAGGCCAATTGAATGATAGAGAACACTGGATATTGTGGATGATGTTTTAGAGCACTGGACTTGCAATGCAGAGGTTACCGGGTCAACTCTAGCAGTTAAACCAATGGGAAAGTCTCATACATCAACCCACCCGCTGCATCTGTTCCGCCAGCAAGCGAGCCAATTGGCAGGTCGCGTGAGGTGGGGGAGGTTAAAGTGTGGGTGTTCCCACCTATTTTTGGAGGAGTAGTCCAAAAATATCCACCAGTGAGGCTCTCTCGGACTCCCTCTCGTGGAGGCCTCTTTTGCCAGCAAGTGGTGCGAGCGAGCAATTGCAGGGCTGTGTCATTACCCTTTACTCCTGGCAAACGAAAACAAAACGACGAGTCTGCGCGCACAGCCAACGGAGCGCAGCATCCATCGAAGTCCTGAAACCGATTACGTCCCCAGGAAGAAATCCAATTTCGCAAGACGAGACGAGAGATCAGTCCTACGTCCGCCATCCATGTTCCCAGCCTCGCCAGTGTCATCCCATTGCACTTCGAAAGTGGAGATTGTATAATGTTGGCTCTCGATCAAGCCTAAGTATGTGTATTGTATCCGCAGCTGCTGGGCACCACATGTGCGCTGACATACATTGCCGTTAATGCACAAAGACGATGGAGGTTTCATTGTCACCCCCAACATTTCCAGTGCTGCCCATTTCACAGCAGTCACGTATTGATCTCGAGCAACATCCAGCAGGAATATGATGCTCAAGTCGATATCTGGAGTAGTTTAAACACCGTAATCCCATTGAACTGAATATTTTATTCATGGTAAAATGAAAGTTGTATTATTATGATTAGTTCGCTGTGAGCCCGATAATATTTGTTTAACCATAGGCAGTCTGCTACTTGCTTAACCACAGGTTCTCTTCCCATCCAGTACTACCATCACAAATACGGGCTGGACTTCCGCAGTCTGCGCTACCCGGGCATCATCTCGGCAGACACCCAGCCTGGGGGAGGCACTACTGGTAGAAACAAATGCCTAGACGTCGCATACACACACACCTATAAATGCTCCCCATATCTAGCCCAGCTTACCATGGGGTCTAGTTGACAGAACCATACCCAGCTGCATTTGTCTTCCCAGAGTTCACGTTTTTGCACCACGCTAAGTGCCCATTTAAGACTGAAATGTCCTCGGGGAGATGCCCAGGACTGGTTCAGGAATCATCAACCGCTGCGATCAGGAATCGTGCACAAGTTACTGCGGATGAGAGCACAGTGCGTGAACTGACGGGCAACCGCTCCCCATAAAGTCAACGACTCACCCGTCCCATACGCGCACGTTGCAGACTACGCCGTGCAGATCTTCCACGACGCCGTGAAGTCGGGCTCCTTCGAGTGCTTCCTGCAGCCCGAGACTCGGCTGCCCATGATGTACGTGGACGACTGCCTGCGAGCCACGCTCGAGTTCCTCGAGACGCCCGGCGACTCCCTGTCCATGCGCACCTACAACATCAGCGCCATGAGCTTTTGCCCTGAGGAGCTGGTGGCTGAGGTGCGCAAGTACGTGCCTCACCTGCGTGTGGAGTACAAGCCCGACACCATGCGCCAGGCCATCGGTGAGTCCACCACGCCGACGCCACATGGGCTGAGCCCTGGCCCCGAAATACAATGCAGTCCCAAAGATCAAAATGTAACGGATCGAAAGGGTCTCCCTTCACAAGCGCGCATGTTGAGCATTTCTTCTCTCGAGCTTTCTTCTCCATGCACCACTGCAGGCATTTTAAGGAGTTGGTGAGGAATCCCACCAAGTCTCCACCATTACTACATGTTGTCTGGTTTGTCCAGGTTATCCTGTTGATTGGATAGTTGCTATCTGGTCAACACCTCTGTTTCTGATTAATTGTTTGACCCAAGCATGTCTATGTATGCCCGTTTGCCTGTCTGGGCCTCTCCATCTAACTAAGTTTGGACAGGTAATAGAGCTAATACATGCTTTCAGCTAAGGTTGTTTTGCTCCAAGGGACTTGCCCTATTGAAAACCAACCACATTGATCAAAGGGTTTGACAAAAACTTGAAGATGAAACCGCAGAAAAGATGAGAATTTGCAATAATGTGCCAAGTGTTTTTTCTGCTTCCATACTGCAAATTGAACACCGCTAAATACTGTACTGCCGAGGAAACAGATTTTGAGGGGTTTCCCCCCTGCCCCCCCCCCCCTATTAACCGTGTGAGCAGTCTAAGTGATACGCATCGATGATGGTGACAATGACGATGGATACAGTCGAACATTTTTTTTCCCCCAGCATTCTTGGGTTTTGAGTGGCTCCAATTGCAAGCTGCTTTTGAGCACCGCCAGCACTGACTTGACTGACTTGTTGTATAAAACACACTCCGGTGCCATTGAAAATGTTAAGTATGGGCCCCGTACATATCACAAAATGGCCTAGCGAGTTTTTAGATTTCAAAGTGCCAAATGTTAAGCTTTAAGATAATTGGTTCTTTACCCTTCTATCTGGCAACAAAACTGACACCTTTTTACAAGGAGTCATGTTTGCATCGACCGCAATACCTGCAGTCATAATACAAACAAAAGAACATAACTCTGATAATGTGCACATTATGACTGCAGGTATTGCGGTCGATGCAAACATGACTCCTTGTAAAAAGGTGTCAGTTTTGTTGCCAGATAGAAGGGTAAAGAACCAATTATCATATTTTTACTGGCAAATGAGGTTCCCATAGTGTTAAGCTTTAAATATACGTACAATGTTGCTCCGAATCAATGCATCGATTTTTGCCTTGATCCTGGAGTTATTGAGGAACGTGATCTGGCAATGTTGCAATAAATGGTGTTTGGATACTGCCCCATTCCTCCCCAACCCCCCCCCCCCCCCAAAAAAAAAATCACAAATTCTGGCTCGATAAACCCAACTGAACACAAACAGTTCGCAATGTGAGATCAATGTGAGATTATGAGCTTCAGGATCGCACACGGAAGTTTGTTTCCTTGAGAAATTGTGGAGGACGTGTATATATATTTCTTTATCGCTCATTATTAAAGCACCGCACTGGGATGCTCGCATTGAATCGCCGGCAGATTTGAACCATTGTATTGACAAAACGCTCGGTGATCAAGTGACGTTTGTGTTTACTTGTCAAAGCTTGCATTTGGTCATGCGCCGGTTTATTACACTGGTCAACACACTTTTTCTGGCATAAGGTATTCCAACGGTGTTAAGGTAATTTTGGGGTGCTGATTCCAAATCTGGCATCAGTTTTTGTCTATCACATCAGGTTTTTGAGATATCAAATATTGCATTTTCAATAAAAACTGCAGAATAAAAATATTAAATAAATGTGGATATCTACATAAAATGATATTATAAACACACTATCCTAAATACAGCACCATATTTTAACACGAAAGCAGTCACTGACTCGCAACAACTTGCAATCATAAGTGACAGAGTTAATTTCGGGTAAAATCAATGAAAATGGGGTATGCCGATAGCATAAAAATGAGATGTGATAGAGCAAATCTGAGATCAGATTTGGAATCAGCACCCTGAAATTAGTCTAGAACAGCTGCAAAAGTCCAGGCCAGAAAAAAATGCTTTTTTTGTGTTGACCAGTGTTATGGTTGTCTCATATCTGTGTGGGTAGCGGTGGTGCAGTTTATTTTTTTTACCACCGCACTAGGTTCACGGTTGTGGATAACATCCGCGACATGTGCCGGGCTTCCCCTATGTTGGCTCGGCCTTAATTTCTTGGTTTCGGTGTGGGAACGCCGAGGTCGTCGATGCGTGTGGTGCTGGCCATGCTTTAGCTCGCAGTTCCCGTGCTGGTTTTAATCGGTGCCCAGTGCCCACTGACACACAGCACACACCCCGACGCGTTGTGGCACTAAATTGGGTTTTTATCTTTGTGTGTGCGTCCGCATGTGTGTGTGTTTGTGGGGAGTGGTAGTGTAGCGGTTTGCACGCTGCACTACTAACCTGGGAACCCGAGTTTGATTCCCGCTCACGGCCAACACCAAGTGATGATTACACCGTGTAACAATTTTTTTTTTCCTGGGTTGTGTTATTTTCCAATTGCTTATGCCTCAAAAGTACAGAAGATGGCTATTATTCCCCACAAACTTTGCTTTTGTGACCAGGACAGTGATATTTTGAAATGTACCTATTTTCAATGAGAAAACGTGGTGTGCATTAGTGTCATTCCTTCACAAAGTCCTGGTCACAAAAGCAAAGTTTGTGGGGAATAATAGCCATTTTCTATACTTTTGAGGCATGAGCAATTAGAAAATAACACTAACTACCCAGGAACAAAAATCGTGTTACATCGTGTTATCTGAACTGGCCCTGGGCCTCCCCTAGGTCGACCCATCCCCAAATGAGTACCTGGTGCGGTGTGTAAACATCGCCATTTGCGAGACAAAGACGGCTGGGCATGGTTCTGACCACCCACCCCCTCGTGTGTCGTGCCGAGCCTTCATAGGTGCTCGCTAACAGCGCTTGCCCCAACAGTTTGTTAATCCTATATGGGTTTGGGGGGGGTCTTTGTCTTTGTATTTGTGTGTTTACCTCTGAGCAGCGGACAGCTGGCCCATGAGCTTTGACGACCGTAACGCCCGGCAAGACTGGGGCTGGAAGCACGATGTGGACCTGCCCGAGCTGGTGTCCACGATGATGACGATGTTGAGCGGCGAGCATCAGCGTGCAGTTGCTGAAGCCAACTAACCCCCACCCCCGCACTACTCCTCCACCCCTCCCCCAAGCACCTTGCAGACGGGAACCTCCGTCTTGTGTCCAGCATTCCAATAGTAACGTCTTTGTTTTTAAATGCGGTGTTGTCCCGTTGTCGTATTCGTGTCACACTCATCCACCGCCCGATGATAGGCCCATTGGCAATAATAGTTCACAATGGTGTGTTTTGTTTGAAACAGGAAATTAAATATAGGCCCATTGAGACTTGCATTGTCTCTTTTCAAAGGGTAATAATGTAGAATGCAACAGAATAAAAAAAATAACTCGATAGAACATTGTCCTTGGTAGCCTATTGATGATGGTGACAATGGTGTAACTAGGAATAGCAACATTTAATAAATATTGACAACATTGTACACCTCATCCACCACCTGGAATTAAGAGCTGACACGCGTGTATCCGGTGTTTTAATGTTCTTCCCAGCTTAGCACCGATTTGTGGCAGGGAAGACATTGCTTCACTGCACAGTCAGGTGCAGCAGGGTTATCTGGATCGATTTGGTGGATATGTGGCAAGGAAATTATATGAATGTAAAAAGCTAAGAATCCACAGTAATCCAGTTTTAGGAGAGGCCCTGCTTGCAACATTACACTACGCAGAGAGCTGAACAGCTTTGTAAATCACACATTGAGCCGATTTCGTACTTGAATTGTGCTACGGCAATTATTTTGGTGAGATGAACTTGTGCGAACGTGATTTTCATGAAATGTGTAGCTGCCTTCAGGTGGCAGGCTTCAAGAAAGTTTGCTGCACCACCATGCATTTGCCGCTAATGGTTGCGTTGTTGGTGACGGTTCAATATATTGGTGGCCATTGGTGTAACCTGAACTAGAGTGGTCACCACGACATGCTTGTCGTAAAGTGGCTCTATGGAAGCTGGATGTAATCACACCCCTTCGGAATAAGTCCAGCGGTGCTTCTATCCGGAGCAGCTTGCATGTATCAGAAGGTGCCCTTCTCTCCCTCGCGAGTGTAGCATAAGCACGCGCTGCCTTGTCAGGGCTGTGCTTATATAAGGTGTGATGCATTGCTTTCACAGGATGAGGTTTCATCTTGCATGGCACCCATCCGGCATTTGGGGAAAGGAATTCCGATCATGAGGCTGCGTGCGTGGCTCGATGCAAGGGCCATATTTTAATGCGATTCGCGTGTTTTGAATGGGTACGGCTGACGTTTCTAAATAATAGACTTTCGTAAAAGCGCATTTGTTTCCACATCACCTTCATGGCTCGCGGTATTGCGTCACAAGGAAGGCAATGTGGTAAGGCGTGCGTGTCGGCCATTCGCAAACTACGGATGTCACGATGGCCCGTAATGTGAGAGCGGCTGTGACGGTCCTGGGGAAACGTAGAGTCCATCTACCGCCCGTACCCGTGGAAATGGAACCACCTGGACTGGAAACACATAGGACAGGCGTTTGAACTGGTGAAAGTATAAAATAATATACAGAGCTAATGTACTTGGAAGGGAAAATTATCACAGAATAGGTGGTTTTATTTAATACGGAGCAAATCTGTGGGTTTGTTAATAATAGGAACAGTTGATTGAACATGCTATAGTCGTCGAGAGTGCTTATTAAAGTAAAACAAATATTTGAATGCTGTTCGTGCTCTATCATATTTGCACATAGGGGTGACATTAACGTTTTAAAACGAAAAACTTTATTTTACTAGGTAAGGCCCACTGAGCTATGTAGCTTAATTTTCAGAAGCGACCTGGCCACAAATGATAGCTCAACAAAGTGGCTTATCATCCTGTGAAAATGTATAGCAGCCAAATACTCTAAGCCAGTGGTTCTTAACCTGGGGTGCGAGATGCCGTTTTTCTGAGAACCTGCCGCAAAGGTTAAGAACCACTGCTTTCAACGCATGCTTTTAAATATGGAGGGGGCAATTCGGACGATCCATGCGACCACGTGGAAAGAGCGACACGCAAACTCCAAATTTCCAAACGTCAAGGTCGGGATCGAGCCCACGACCTCCTGTGTACCAAGACTCCATGGAGTTAGGTTATCGGGAAGAAGTGGTTGGTCGGTGGCAGAGGTGACACCACGCATTGGCAACTAACGATCAAGGAAGCAGCATTTCTCAACTGATTTGCTTGCCACGTTATGGGGGCATTTTGTTCGACTACCTTACTCGGATTACAGAGTGCTTTTCTATTGACGGTTAAGAGTTATTCGTCTTTTTTAAATGAATGCTCATTAATGTTTGCTTCATTAATAACCTCTCCAGGGTGTCCTCGAGAGCTCCCAGTAGTGGCGTGAGCAAGCAATTTATCTAAGTTAAGTGGGCAGCAGTATTCGTTACAAAAAAAGTGACTTGCTCTAATAAGGACATCTTAGCTATAATCGCGTAGCAAACCTATGTCCTGTGTCAAGGGATTTCTGAGTGTTCCACCCCCTTGGCTGCAGTGCTGTTTTAGCTTGTTGCTTTCGTGCCCTATCGATGGCTCGCATTAATTTACATATACATTTAAGAATAAAAGATAAAATAAGTGCCTTTTTTTACTTTCAATGGAAACTCAATTTCCTCCGATCCCCTCCCCAACCATCTCCGTGGAGACTAGGGTTGAACCGTGCTGGGTTTGTTGGGGTGCTTTTTCGAAGAAGCTTGGAGTCACGCTTGATGTCGCCACTTTCTGATACCGACGCTGGAAACTCGAATTGCACGAACTGCTAAGCGTATGATGCCAAATCGGCGAGTCAAAATTGTCACCCCCTTCCAGATGTTAATATTACTGACATCCCTGAGCTGACTGCATCATGAATTAAAGAATGTCCACGACAAGTTGTAGTTGCCATAATTGTCTGTTTTAATTAAGGCGTGTGCCAAAATAGCATTTGGTTAAGTAACTAACATATTTGGAGTAAAATATTTAAGCGGTTGGCATTTGGCTCCAAATCACTCGTAAGATGCTCCCACTTTCCAGAAGTGTTGCCTTTTGTAAAGCTTGAAATTCAACAATGAAGAGGGAATTCTTCCATCAACTAACGATTTCCATGAGACAATTAACTGACTGAGGTGGTATAATGACCAGCTTTTCTGATGGTGTGCCCTGTTCATGTTGTGGTCCAGTAATGTCACCCCTGAATGAAGCTGGACACTACTGCTGTACACATTTGACTGCATCAGGCAGTTGGCTGGACAATCGGTTGGACTGACAAATAATCAGGTCATAGTCGCACAATCCAAAACAGATTTCCACGTGACCACAGTGGGCTGCTTTGGCTTGGCAAGATGTATTCTCTCAACTATGTTTTTCAATCACTCCAACACAATGTAATGAAGAATGCACTTTGCAAGTTTACAGGTTGCTCAGGTATGTTGTGTATGTCTCTCGGGAGGGATGCCTGTACCAGCTTTGTCCTAAGTTAAACAACTTCAATGTTGGGCGTTTTCAAAGGAAAGTGTATATTTTATCAATATAATTTTTTGCAATATTTTATTATCCCCCTTGTGCTCTCGCAAACATGTATGTTACTCTTGAGTTGTAACCAATAAAGATTGTATAAAGACTGTACGAAAAATAATATTTTGTCTATACCGGACTGAACCCATTTCTTCCCTGTAATCCTAAAAGCGTTCTCTTGCACTGTATGTGTATACATACAGACATGCATATTGTGGGGAGGGTGGCGAGGTGGTTAGCGTGCTGCACTACGGACCCAAAGACCCCAGTTCAAATCCCCGTCACGGCCACCAAGATCAGTGATCATCTGAACCGGTTCTGGGCATCCTCTAAGTTGACTCAGCCTCAAATGAATACCTGGTGCTGTGTGTAATCATCGCCACTGTGGAGACAGAGGTGGCCCGGGCGTGGTGCTGGTCACCCACCTTATCGTGTGTCGTGGTGGCTTTCATGGGTGCTCACTAACAGCATTTGCCCCAACAGTCTGTTAAAGGCCATATCGTATATATGTGTAGACATTAACTGTTGTCAAGTAACAAACTATATATGTGAAAATTGCGTGAAACTGGCAGATTGAAATTGTAAATTATTATAATTACAGTTGTTTCGCATGTACTGTGAAATTAGGCATATGTAATTTGACTAAATTTGATGAATTGTCACGATTTTGTTCAAGAATTATTATTTCCCATGGTGGTGAATGTCGATAGTGCTTCTGTTAGCTGTAGATGTCCCAAGAACCCATTACGTCGAGCATACACCAATCTAAAATGATCTACGTTCCATGCACGGTTAGACCCATGTACTGAGCATAAAAAAATCAATTTCAATTGATGCATTGTTAAGTGCCTTGTGAATATTCCAGCACGTGTATAACATATGTGTAGGGACTGGTGGTGCAGTGGTTAGCACACTGGACTATGAACCTGGACCACCTGGGTTAGATTCCTAGCCACGGCTAACATCAGTGGGTGGTGAATAGCATCCGAATTGGTACGGGCCCCAGTCGTAATCAATCCGCCCTGACCGGCGTGGTGAAGTATGGTTAAGCAACCCCCAAGATGGACACTCCATGGGGATGCCTTCATCCAGCAGTGGATTGACAGAGGATTGTAAATTTAAATAGCTGCAGAACAAAATATGCATTCAACCGTTACCTATGCATTTGCATTTTTAAATTATACACTTTAGGTCAATTCATTTTGTACATAAGTGCCCGAATATCCATTGCAATTGAGACATGACCCATATCTCACACGAGCACATTTATAAAACCATGAGCCACGGTGGTGAGTCGGGGGGGGGGGGGGTGTCACCATAATCTCTTTGTGGCTGTACCGCACCAAACAGGGCTTCTTACTCCTTCACCGTCACCTCCCACCAGGGAATGCAGACTGATCGCCTGTGCCCCAGGAACCTCGAGCCATAAACAACCGGCTGGAATTGTCTGACTTCGGACACCTGCTTTGCTAACAGGATGAACCCTCGTCGGTTTTACAAATGGTTCTCAAATTTGTTATTGCTATTTTTTTTTCCGGCAGCGAGTCGCTCGACTTCGCTCGAGTGACAGGTCATTTCTCGCGACCTGAGAAGCAAGTCTTCCCAGCTGCCGTAAAATGTTTAAATGCTGCTACATGCCCTCCCCCCCTCCCCGCAGAAAATATAATTTTATGCGACTTCGAGAGAAATGTCAAGTTTAGAAATGACAGCGTTAAAAGTTTTGTCCTTAAATTGTTGAATGAAAATGATGTATGGTAATGCCGCACTGTTAAAACTTCAAGGATTTACTGTTCACTATATTTAAATGGTTACGCTTCATACTGTGGCATGCAAAAAAAAATGTTTTAAATATTTTGGCTGAAGTGCTGACATGGCTTGCAGACTAAATACTGACCTGCTATTTGCAGCTTACAGTATACCAAGTAACTGTGTCAGCACTTCTTAGTGAAGATAAAATAAACCCCGCAAAAAATGTATCATGGTAAAATTTAGTCTATCAACTAAAACATTTAAAATTCGCACGTGGAAACCTATGATTCTCTATCACAACGAATATCGTAAACACTTTTGGATATTGATTTTTGTAATGAATAGCGTCCCATTGCTTAGATGGAGTGTTCTTGCCAATAACATCTGACAACCCAGCAGTATTTGTATGACAAGAGTGACTGCCAATGAGACCCAGCAGTCCAGAGTTTGCTTGCTTAAACAAATACTGCTGGATATTGGCCTGGATAACAATACGCTGATAACTAAAACTATTGAAATCTTACACATATTCTGTACGTAGATTTGTGTTGGCCACGAGCTCATGGGAGCTGAGAGTGCGATAATTGCGACCATATACCAGTTGCATCTTTACGAGGACTCATAAGTGCGACCTCTTTACACAGAAGGTGCTTGCCACAAATCAACCTTTCTGATCTTGTCTAAGAGCATTAACCATCACGCAAACTTTGGTCATCCTCACAGCAGCTTTTGGCTAACCATCGAACAAAGACCGTCACTGCATCGCGTGCTTTCAGATGCGCTTCTGCGGCCGTCTGGAACGCTCTTCCATATGATGTTAAGAAACTACTTGAGCGATGGACTCTTAAATCTAGATCGAAAACTCATTTCTTGAGAACTGCGTTTGTGTTTAATTTGTGCGTTCAGATACGGTTGGCTACGTACAGAGCGAAAGAAATTCAACATGCATACACTACATACACGTTCACTGCCTTTGCCTCCACATGGATGATGGGTGAAATAGATTATCAGTGAAACTGGCTTATTCCATTTATTTTAATCGGGGAGGTTATTACTTGACTCACAGCCCAACACTAGGAGCAGGGTAGTATGGAAGCGTCGTTGTGAAAGCACAGACTATTCCATTAAGACTGTTCCAGAAAGGACGGTTATTTCGAATGTGTTGCAAGGTACATAACAATGTCTCACCGGGAGAGAACTTGATTACTAACCTGTGTGTGCCTTAGTCATGAACGGCAAGAAATTGGTTTATTCTAATGTCCAGTTGTTCCTACTATCTCAGCATTGTGGTTTGCAATATTGAGTGTTTGTTTTGTGTACGTAGAACGCGTGAAATACGTTGATGGGATAATACAAAAATTTACACAAGCTTCTGAAAAAATCTAATAAAAATATTCAAAAAATAATACAAGTTATATAGGTGTATTAGATATTGGCCAATTTACCTTATTCAGGACATGTTGCAATTTTAAGAGAGGGCCTCAAATGTACGATGAGGTTGGGTGATTGGTGATGTCAGGTGATGGACCCAAGGCAGATTATAATCTCTTGCATTGAGGAGGGGGGAGAGATCCCCTTCTCATTGAGTGGATTGCTTGAGAGTGAATCGCAGAAATTTGAAAAGAAAATCATTTATATAATTTCAGGTGAAAGCCCATCTGGGCATTGTGTCTTCCAGAGTGGTTAATTCTTGGACTGCACCTCCGATGTACCGTACCTCCGATTAGCACGGTTGGCTACGTGCAGCGCGAAATAACTTTCAACATTCATACATACATGAGGCTAATCATTTGCGTGTACCGTACAGAATATATTGTGTAAATGTCTCGGAAACTCAAAGGGCCTTGCATCACATCTCATCTCATCCATTCCAATGCCCAGTGGCAGTGTAGCCTAGGGGAATCCGAGTGGTAACTCTCCCTATGTGGCACAATGTGTACACGACACCAATCTGAGGATGGTCACAATCTTGCCAGTAGCGGGGCAATGTTTCCAAGTCGTTTTCTCAATTAAGCAATCTGTTTTTTTTTATTTGGCAAATTTCGAACATGATGCTGCATTGGCTGTCACTCTGAGGTGTTAATTCCCTCGCCTGATATGCAGGAGGTCGTGGGTTCGATTTCGACCCTGACACCTGTATATTTGGAGTACGCATCTTTTCCCTCTGGTTGCGTGGGTTTTCCGATGGGTCTCTCCGGGATTTCCCTCCACATTTAGAATCATGCATTTCGAGTATTTGGTTGCTATACAATTACACAAGATAAGCTGCTTCGTTGAGATATCATTTTAGGCCAAGTTGCTCCTGAAAAAGATATATATAGCTCAGTGGGCCTTACCTGGTGAAATACAAATAGTTTCATAGATTAGTAAGGTGATGAAAACAGATTGATGCGTTTCAGGACACGCCGTATGGGTGGCAGGGGTAAACCTGTGATGTAGCATTGTGTAAAAAAAACATGATAATCGAAAATCATGCAACGCTGATCCTAGCAAGACGTATAGTTTGCAAGCTACAGGTGTCAGATGTGAGCCAATGGTGACCTCGGCACAACGTGCAAATAGCAATTGATGCAGACTAAAGCTTAGCGCTACAGTGCTGGCCATATTGATACATTGCAGCACGTGTTTGACAAGGCAAATTAAGAAAATGCTTGGCGGGACCTAACTTCATAGTGTCGACTATATTCACGAAGGGATAACCGTATAAGTGGAACGCAAATCGCACATATCGGTACAAGTCATAGCAACACTTGTCATGGCCATAGCATCAGTAAGCAGGTCAAAGTGGTGCACTGCGTTCAAGGATGGTGCGGACCATTTGACAGAGTAGCCCATGACCCAAGGAGGTAAGTTGGTCGGTATCACCCAGGGAAAAACTTTATATCAGTATGCACCATGGGCAGTATCTACTATGGTATCGTCCACCATTGTTGGAAAACTTCGCATATATACTGTCTCTTTAATGAACACACTTGATTTTTTTCACATTTCGTAGATGTTTCAGATATATTTTCCCCTAAAGTGATATTTTCGGTCATACGCACGCTTATTTGATTAATTTTTATCTCTCAAGAAAACCTCATGAAATGGCCTTGCTATCACAAGTGTAACCTGGATATCATTTGCTTATACATTTGCTTAAGCTGCCCGCATATCAAGTCATTGCGCACCAGACTTTTGCGTCATGATGCCGATCCTCGCTGTGTGGCACAAGACACGATTATATAATTCGTGTTGGTCAGGATGACTGAGCATCGCAATGTGTAACACCGCAGTTACACAAAGTAGCCGTGCAGGTGGCTTAGCGGTAAAGTTACGTAGGTAAAAATAAATAAATAAATATAAATAATAGCAATAATAATAGAAATAAAA